GATTGACAACTATGTGCCACTTAAACTCTTTGTGGGTGATACTTCGCTTGGCTGCGGTGAGGTGAACTGCGGAATCCAGGTCGGGTATCTGTAAACAAGCGTCATTGAACCGCTTGATGTAACTCCGAATGGACTCCCCTTCCTTTTGAACTATGTCGAGGAGGCTTTCCCGAGTTCTCGAGCACCTTTTGCTGGTGACGAAGTGGGAGGTGAAAAGTTGCACGAACTGCGCCCAACTTCTTATTGAACCAGGCACGAGGTTACGGTACCATGTGCGGGTTACCCCTTTAAAGGTGATGGAAAAGGCTACGCACATGTAGGATTCACTGTTTCTTGTCAGGTGCATTTGGGACTGGAAGGCGTCCACGTGATCATTTGGATCGAAGGATCCGTCATACTTGTCCAGTGGAGGGAGCTTGAAGTCCCTTGGCATGGGGACATCAAGGAGTTCTGGAGATAATGAGGAAGAAACTGAGAGGAGAGGGGTAGCTTTCACTTCACCTAAGCATACCTCCTCTTTTCCTTTGAGCTCGGGAGAGACTTGGGTAGCAGTTTGGCGAGCTCGCCGGCGTCTTCACTGCTGCTTTGCTGGATTGGCGTTGGTGCTTGATGCTTCAGCGTCATCGAGTTCGACGGGCTCAGACTGCTGGTGGTGGCTCTGAACCGAAGGGCCCTGCCTATAATCTGCGGCCAGAACCTCGAACGGATTCTCTGCAAGCGGGATCTCGAACCGCGAAGGCCGGGGTGATACGGGATTGGAGGCCCCCGACCTGCCCACAGGCTGCGAGGCGGGGGTGGCTGGCCTCTCCTTCTAGCTATGGGAAGAGGCTTGGCTCTTGGCGGGATCTTGGGCCTGGGAGGCCTCTCCCCGGCGAGGTCGTTCTCTCCGGCGAGAGGGCTTGGTCTGCTTCGTGGGCGGATGCCGAGGGGGAAGCGACGACTGGGCCTGGGGCAGAGAGGGAAACTGTTGTTGATACTGGTACTGGGAAACCTGGTGCAGCACGTGTTGTTGATAGAGTTGGAATTGTTGAAATTGTTGCATTTGAGCTTGCATGGCTCGCATGCACTGCATTAAATCCTTCAACTGGTTCGGGTTGACCGCCGGGGGTACAACCGAGGGTTCAGCAAATGTTGCTCCAACTGTGGAAGGCAGTGGAGCGACCACGGGTGCCACTGTGAGAGGCACGTTCAAACTGGGAACTCCGTCCACGGAGAGGGGGACGGTGAACTACCCAATGCAGACAGTAGGAAGTTGGGGCTGCTCCCTAGAAGCGTTCTGGCTGGCACCATGTCCGATGTTGCTGGAGGAAGCCATGAATGCTGAGTTTTCAGAAAAGGAAACTGTAAAAGCTTAGAGGAAGGCTTCTTGAAGCGTTTTCCACAAACGGTGCCAAATGATGCGGCACGATCCAAGCACTCCTAGTTGGCTGCTGACTGGCTCCTAGCTGGCAACGGACGACACCTGACAAGAAGAAGGTGAAGGATTCCCGGGGGATTTGCCCGGCGGGAATACTCTGAAGCTTAAGTTAGAACGCTAAGGGAGAAAGTAAAGAGTGTAAAGAGGCTAAGAGTGTAGGTCGCGCTAGATCACCGAGTTCTCAAGATTATCTCGAGAGTAAGTAAGATGACTCAAAATCATATTCAATTAGAGATCCCTCTCCCCTTCGACTAAGGGGCTTTTATAGGGGCGTTCTTGTCAAATTGGGCGTAACCGCCACTAGGCTTCTGTCGCAACCGTTACCTGCCAAGGCTGCGCAGGTGACTGTCGCAGGGTACTACCCAATTGGATGGGTGACACGTCCCGGGAGGACAGGCATGCCACCATCTGTCAAGAGACGTGGGTACAACCTGTCGAATGGGCAGGGACTGCGCCATCAGTCGAGAGACGTGGCGCAATCTGACTGGTACGGTCTTGTCAGATAGAAGCTTCCTGAGAGCGTCGCGTTGCTTAGTCGCGAGCTACCTTGTAGCGAACTACCCTGTCGCGCAGCGAGCTACCTTGTCGTGAGCTACTTCGTAGCGAGCTCCCAGGGGTACTTCGAGGTGACTCTCATCGGGATTGTCTTTGGGGCAGTCTTTCTGCCTAAGTGTTGGAGCGAGCTGGTTACCTTAGCTCGCGAGTTGGGATAGTCTTGGAGTATTCCCTTTCAGTAGCTCGGGGGACCTCGAGCTCGCGTTGTAGCGAGCTCCCCTATAGCGAGCTATGACGTAGCGAGCTGTCCTGCAGGCTCGTTACTTAGTCGTAGTCAGGTTGTAGTGCTGAGATGTTGCTCGTGCTGAGTCAGGTCCACGTGTCATTGTCTCAAGGGGTCGGGTCAAATCATCCTCCATCATCTGTCCTACATGAGAGGACCAAACACATTGAGGTGGACAAACACTTCGTTAGGGAAAAATTGGAAAAAAGGGAAATTTGCATCCCTTATGTCAATTCCAAGGAACAACTCGCTGATGTCATCACAAAAGGACTTTCATACTCGTGGCACAATGAGTTATGTGACAAGCTAGGCATGATAAACATATTCAACCTAACTTGAGGGGGAGTGTTGTGAGGATTATTTAATTGTTATTTTACAATTGTTGTTAGTGTGTTGTCAGCTTAAAATGCCGTCAGCCAGTTAGTTTCTTTCTTTCTTATTAGTTTGTTACTAGGGAGTGCCACCAAGGGCATACTTGTAATCTCCCATTCCTTTTATATTAAGTTAATATAAATAACTAAACTGGTGGCGGCCATAATAGTTTTTTTGTCTCTCAATCATATCTTCCTCTTCTCCTCTTCTCTTCTCTTCTCTTCTCTTCTCTTCTCTCGTCTCTCTCTCTCCATGAATGATTATAGTTGAAATATACAATTTTTTGGATTTTATATTTAATTTATTATTCTACAATTTCTGATTTTTTGGATGAAAATATATTTGAAAATTTTTATTATTTGTATGTTTTCAATAATTTCTATCAAATTTGTGCATTTCTGCAATTTTTTAGCATTTTCCTACAATTTTTTGTATTTTCCTCAATTTTCTATGATTTTACAATTTCTCTTTCCTTCTATTTAATTTTTTATTGTTTTCTAATTTTTCTGCAATTTATAATGTTTTACAAGGAATATATATATTTTTGCCATTTATTGTATTTTTATTTGAAAAAAATGAATTTTTATGCTTTTGTAATTGAAATATATAATTGTATGTTTTTATGCAATTAGAATATAGAAAAAAAATAAAAAAGGTCTAATTTGAAAAATTGAATTAGAGGGTCAAATGGGTTGGTCAGGGTGGGTCAAGGTCAAAGTGGGTTATGACCCACTCTGGCCCACTAATATGGGTGGCAAATGGGTTAGTGGGTCAATATGGGTGGGTATTCAACCCACACCCAACCCAATCCAACCCACCCATTTACCACCCCTAGTTGATTAGTTATTATTTTAGTTAATGCCTAAACAATGAAAATTATTGCATATAAACTTTTGTGTTATGGATATTTGTACCTTATATCATTCTAACTTGGTATATTATATGTTATTTTTATCAATTTATAAAGTCTTAATCAATTTTTTTTTCTTAAGATTTGAGGCTTACAACTCACCTTTTTAGGATATTATGCCTCAATTATGCCTTTAGCCTTTTAAAACCTTTGATGTTGGGAACTACCATGGTTGGACCCTGACTGTCGATGGGCTGATTTGGGTTGGACCCTAACTGAATAAAAACCAATTTGAACAAGTTAAATGGTCCAATAAGACATTGAATTGCACCAGTCCAGACTTAATGGTCCAAAGTAGTTATTGGATTGGGTTGGACCTGGTCCAATTGTAATGGATTTATATTAGACTGTTGGGTTGAACTAATATTCGCTAATATTCGATCCATTAACAGAATATAAGAGTAGGGGGTGTAAACTGATGAGCTTTGTTTTGGAAGCAATTTGAATTAAAACCAATTTCAACATGTTGGACGGTCCAATTATATTGAATTGAACCAGTTTAATCCAAAATATTTATTGGATTAGATCTGAACACAAGGAGACGTAAACCTCCTTAAGAGGAGGGGGATTAGGAGGAGGCCGAAGAGAAAAGGGAAATCTCATTTTTTCTTTATTTTTAATAAAAATCTTTTATATTAAGAAGAATAAAGATGCATAACATTAGTTGAAAGGAATCTCATTTTTTCTTTCCTTTCCCTTTATTTTTCTGTTCTTTTTTTTTCATTTTTCATTTTTTTTATATTAGATGTGCATGAGGCATACGCCTCTAGCACACCTAATGAAAAAAGCACAAGAGGCGTGAGGCATACCCCTCAGAGGCATCGACGCCTCTGGCATACGCCTCAGGGCATTTTGAGAGCGCCTCGCTTGGAGGCATGCCTCCATATGTATGCCTCCCACGCCTTTTAAAACACTGATTACAAGTCACCAATGAAGTCACTGACCTACAGCCACAGGTGCAACTTGGGAATCGTTAAGAAGGGAATGATCATTTCACTGTCTGCGTCTTATAATGGGAACCGTGAAACCATGCAAATGCATTGTGATACATTTCCTCCCGCTCAATGTTTCACTCGTTCAGCTTGATACTAATGAATTCCAAATTCCAGTATTGTCTCAAGAGACTGCATGGGACTGTTGTCCATGAGTCCATCAACACTCGGAGATATCCAAAGGGTCCCAATCTTCAGTCCTGGAAAAATTATTATCTCTTGATGCATCCGAAAGACAAGTTCTCCGTATTCACGGTTCTCAGAAAGATGCATATTAACATGGTAACCAGTAGTGGCAGTGGAACTGATCATGGAAAATAGATACCCGAAAAGGCTTGGTGCAAACTAAAGTTTCCTCTAAAGCTTATATTCTGTGGCTTGTTAGTAACTACGTACTGCATACTTGAAATGAAATGCCCATGTTGTTCAATGTTCCAAGAGAGGAAATGGAACAGTAATGGCAGGAAAACTGTTAAGACAATTTTAACTCAAAGGAAGAAAACCACACAAACACACATACACACATATATATAGTCACTCATAAGAAGGAAAAGATTCTATTGTGGATACGAAATGAGTTTTCGAGTCACATTCACTAGCTACAACGGAAAATTTGTATCAATGTAGAGAGATGTACAAACCAAATGCCCAACCACCAATGACAGTAATTATTACATACCTATTGACAACAATATATCGGTATTCACCTCAATGTTTCCTTATTTAAGACCTATCTGATTAATGGTATGGTACACCAGCCCAAAAAGCATTAAGCTCTAATAATGGGGCCCTTGTATAGCCCCCTCCGAACCACAAAGTTGTCAGGAGGTTGAAACTCTTCTAACCAAGCCACTTCAGAAGTTTTTATTCTACTTGATTCAAGAATACCTGTAAGAACATCAACTGGAACCACAACAATGAATTAAAGGACCCAAAGAGTATGCATGCCAAAGGTAAAAGGAAAGAACAGTTACCAGAAAAACCCTTCATTGATGACTTCCACAAGTAAGAGCAGTGTCGCCCATCCTCTGAGGAGTAAGGAGGTGATAATATGTCAAAGATAGCACAAGGGGTTAAAGCTTTGAAAGAGTGAAGATTGCCACCTCTTGTTGGATAAAGTATTGTTGTATCACATGGTGCAGTCATCTGGCAATCTTTAACAACCTTTGCAGGTCTTGCTGCAAAATGATACTAATGAAAGCTTAAAACGAATCCAAAACAAAAATGAATTGAAATGAAATGTAAGAAATTTAAAGGTCAAAATGCATCTTCAATGTAAATTCAATTAGATTCTCACCACCACTGCTACAGTGAAAGACCAGCACACCACTTAATTGAACCTAAGATACATGTAAAATTTCACAAATTAAGGCACGCATGCCAAAACAATGTTATCAAGAAGATTTTGTGATGGCCAAGCTGTGTGAGATTGAAGTGCACTCTCTTGAAGTGGGACAGTTTTCATAGATTATCAACAAAGCCTTGTTATTCATCTCTTCCAAAAGACAAGATAAGATTTTGAGAACAAGTGATACCTAAAAGTTTCTGCACAACTCCCTCCCCCACCCCTGATCAGGTTTTCTACCATTTTGTCTACTCAAACTGGAATTCCTCTTTGATCAGTGCTACAGGTTACTCTCAATATGTCTATTCCAAATTGGAATTATAGCAGCACATCATTTGAAACCAGTACATTTTGCAATTTAAAAGTACACACATTGCAATCGGGGTTGTTCTTTCAGATCCTTGGATTCTTTAGTTGAATTCATCTTATATTTTCTTTGTATTTGTTATGATACCAGAAAACCTGGACATGGTTAGCATAGTGGTGTTGGACACAACAAGCACCTGATAACAATGGATACTACACAGACACTTCTAGATATATTCTATACTAATAACATTTTTAAAATATTTAAAATGGTATTGCTTTAACAATTCATATTATATTTGGAAAATAACAATTCATATTATAAAAATATATGTGTATGTTTGAAATTTAATTAAACTTGGCAATAAGAGTCTTAAGAAATGAAAGTTAGCTTCAAAATCTAGGTATTAAAGCAAGATATAAACATATACGAGATCCTTGTCATTTTTTTTTGTACAGGGCATCTAACAAGCCATTCAATGTAGGGGTGTATGTGAGCTGAGCTCGGCTCACTAAATACTCAAACTCGACTCAAAGATAATCAAGTTTGAGTCTACTAGTTAGTCAAGTTCAAACTTAACAATACCCGGCTTGAGCAGCTCTTGAGCCTAATCGAGCTTATAATAAAATGTTGTTTTTCTAATATATTTTATTTATAATATACATAAATAGTAATTTTTATATTAATTTACTTAATAAAATAAATAAATTTATAATTGACTTTCACAATATATTTTATTTCTAATATTAATTTATTTATAATCAGCTTGAGTCGAGTAGACCAATATTCGACTCGACTCAGTTCAATTACACCCCTGATTCAATGTATAGGTGGCTTTGCCTTGTATATCTTTTAGGGCAATGCCCATTTTTAGGATGAATGATATGTGATCTTTCTTTGGAAAAAGTTCTAATCTGTCCTCTATAAATTGAAAAAAGCAAAAAGAAAAAAAAAAAAAAAAACTGCAAGAGGAGTTCCCTTCCACATTCCACAAAATTCTCACCATACTTCCTGTGCCTTTGAGTTCTATTACCAATTTAAAATTTAATCTTTCACTATATTAAGCCTCCTCTTTGTTTAATAAACCTTCGTTCTCACAACAAAAAATCTACATTCTCTTTATATGTTTTTTTTTTTTTTTGATGAATGTACATTCTCTTTATATGTTGAGTCTTTCATCCTTTTAACATTAATAAATACATGAATAATTTTCAGTTATTGATTAAAAAAAGTAGAACATTTTTAACTTCCAACAAAAAAATTGTCATAATGTCGTCCTTTAACTGAAAAAAGAGTTATTTTTTCTTCTAACTGACAGCATTGCAGGCAGGAAACGTCTTCACCAACATAGTCAAAGCATCCGAGCAAGGCTTAGGAAACTAGGATCCAATGATCCAGAAACTAAAACTTAACTTCTGCCAACATTAAGTAGATATGAGTGAGAAATAATGTGGCAAAAGAAAGATTAAGAAAGAAAAACACATTCTATATGGTTCCATTATCCCTAATATTCATTAGGGTGATTGATCCTGGACATCTTTGTTGCATTCACAACAAGATTAGAATTACAAATATAAGCCCTCAAGCTTAAAGAGGATATTTACCTTTACCAGGACTGGTCTATGTTAAAATTAAGGATCAATATAGCCATTTCATTCTTAATATGAAGATTTTTCCCATTCGCCAAAAGCCATGACTCAATGTTGCTCCTATCTATCTGGGGTCTTGGGAGCAATAGACTGAATATGGACCTAACCTGTGGAAATTTTTTGCATAGAGTAGCTGCTCTCAGACTCAAATCCACATTCTCATGTTAGTCATCCCAAGATTTTACCATTACAACAAGCAATTGACCCTATTTTCCTGTGAAGTCACAATTCTCGTATAAAAGTGACGAGAAAAAAAAAAATTTCTCAACTAAAAGTGGAGAGAAAAAAATCATCCCTCTAAACCTACTCTCCAGTCTGACATTATCTTCTACATTTTCTTTTCACAACTGTGTATAGTTTGATCATTACTCCTTTCCTCCGTTTACTTGTTTCCCAGATAATCATCATTATCATCAGCATCAACATCCAAGCATTGTTCTACTATATGGGGTTGGCTACATGAATCCTGTTTTTCCATTTCCTTCTGTACAATGCCATAGCCATTGTTAAATTATGAGTCCCTTAATCATTTATTACTACCTTAACTCATTTCATCTTTGGTCTGTCCCTAGCTCTTCGAGCCCCTTCAACTGGTAACAGATTATTTCTTCTTACAGATGCTGTAGATGGTCTTCTATGCATGTGATAATGAATAGAATGCTAATTGGTTGCCTGTTGTAGCAAAATGTCATGAATGACAAAATGCATCGCACACTGTATAGAAAGTCCCT